GAAGTCGGAGTGCCTCTCCGCCTCCGAACTGACGGTGGGCCCCCGTTCAATAGCCACGAGTCAAGAGCTTCGCCGAACGCTGGGGCGTCCACCACATCGTCACCTCCCCTCATTACCCGCAGGCGAATGGCCACGCCAAGGCAGCGGTAAAGTCCGTAAAATACCTCATCCTCAAGACAGCACCGACGGGGAACCTGGACTTCGTACTTGTGTGCCTGCCCACCCCCAGTCCTTCTTAGATGAATGGCAGATCAAGGCGGACGAGTGTGACCGCCGTGAGGCTGCCCGGATGGCCCAAGTGACAAGCCACTATGACGCCCACGCCCGCCCCCTTCCCAGGTTGACCGTCGGCCAGCAAGTACGAATCCAGGACCCGACGTCACACCGCTGGGACAAGGTCGGGGTCGTCATGGGCCGTGGCGAGTCTCATTCGTACCAAGTCCGCCTCCCCAGTGGTCGTGTGTGGTGGCGAAACAGACGCCATCTCCGCCCAGTGCCATCCTCTAGTGACGGACCTTCCCCCCCGTCCCCTGTGCCCCATTGCCCAGACCAGGAACGAAGGTCGTCAGTTGATCCTCCCATTGTCCCTCGCCGCTCCCCCCGACTCATGGAAAAAGAGTCCGTAGCCGCTCGAGATTGCACTACGAGCGTAAAGGGGGAGGGAGGTGTATAGATATGTAAATACCAAGATATGTGAACACGCCTGACGCCAAGACTCTGTTACCATTCATTGTACCATTTATTCACATGTCTGTATTACTACATATTATTATAGCATGTCTGATATCTATGCTTATGTCTAATGCCTATGTTCACTTACTATGTCCTGATGTACTATGTCTGTACCGCGCTAGTCAAGTAACTAGAAGACCTCATTTATTGTCCTAATAATGTCTAGCAACTCTCCTTGCCTAGCTAGCTAACTTCCCTCAGATCGGCTTTGGCCTGGCTACGGCACGGAGTCCTTTTTGCTTGTCCCTGTTTTTCTGTACCTGTCGGTTATCCTGCCAAGTCTTGTACTACTTATTGAATATATCTACTGCTCGTGCCCTGGAGTTCAAGAACCTTGTCTAGGATTTCATCCCACCACAATAACTACCTGTTTTATACCTGTTTTATGGGCTTTTGAGTGTAATACGATTCATGTGATTGTAAGTTAACTAACATGTATGACTGTGGCAATTACACTCTAATGACATAACAGCAGGATCCTTGACTTCTGTTTTGATACATTTACACTGTCCTCTATAAATTTCCTTGTAACTACAGTAGATGGAAACTTCATGCAATTTACATAAATTCCTGGAAGACTTGTCGTCCTGATTTCCCATCTGTACGTGTCACGTTGACCTATTCTCGTCATGAGTGCTCATAGTCAATTTGAACAAAAACACAGCAAGAACTATGAATATTTCTCAGGTTTTGTGCCCAGTGTACAAATGTCTCGCTTATAGGTTCCACACGTCAACCAGCATGACGCCTGCAGAGATCCACCAACTGGGCCTGGACGAGGTGACACGCATCAGGGGTGAGATGGCCAAGGTAAGTCTCAGAGTCAATCAACCACACCTATCTCATTTTTATATCTATATGAATGATCAGAGTAAATAATAGTAACGAGGGTAAATTTTTACTTTCAGACAAGAGTCCCTAGGGGATGACCAATATGTTTTTCCAGTGTGTTTTGGTGTGTTTTAAACGAATCTGACCTTCATTTTTGGCGGAAATTGCTCGTTTTTTACCCCCCCTCGCCCTCCCCATCGATAACGGGTGAGAGCCTGTGAAATCGGGATTTTGGATGGGGGAAATTACGAAAACGAGTCGTCTAACCTAACCAAACCTAACCTAACCCTTAGCCGGGGGCTCCGCCCCCGAACCCCCGGTAGGCTTAGCTTAAACTAACCAAACCTATCCTATTCATTTCGAACTAATATAAATGGGGTTCAAAAGACCCAAAATAATGAGATCTAAATGTTTTAGTAGTTTTAAACTTTGCGGGGCGCCATGTCCGAAAATACAATACGTTCGTTAGAAGTGAAAGGACCAGGGTCAACCTCTAAATTTACAAGTCAATTTACAGTGCGGGCATTCAACAGACGTGATTACGTAGGAATTGGATAGCTTGGACGTCTTTCTCGTAATAGTAGAGCGGATAATGGAAAAATCGTGCAAATGGTGATACAAGCATGAAATTTGGCAAGGATCATACCCTAGGGGCTACTTGTCAAATCTGCCTAATTGGCCATTTGGAAATCTAAGATGGCGGCCATTTTACAAGATGGCTGCCAAATTGACCTTCGGAAGGTGATTTTTTTTTTAGAAATTGATGAAGTTGGTCAATCTAAATGATCTTAGTGTCGATATATATGTTTTCAAGCATGTTCAGGTGATTTTTTTCTATTTCTCATACTCTCATATATATATATATATATATATATATATATATATATATATATATATATATATATATATATATATATATACAGTATATATGTCTTATTTATGACTGGTTTTATGTACTGGTTTTATGATTTTTTTCAACTAGGTGAGGGTAGCATGCCCTCACATGCAGAGCATGTGAGGTAGTGATTGTTGGGCACTACCAGGGCACATTGGTGACATCACTGCTGTGCAACCCAGCATGGGATTCAGTGTCAGCTAAGAAAAAGCATGTCATACTGCAACAGCCTAGTGTCCCAAATGCTGCTTAACCAACCCCAAATCAGTTAAGCAGCCGCACCTGAATTGACAGGATGTGCCAGCGCGGGAGAGCTGAGCCAAGGATAACGGGGTTTTAGTTATCTGGATGGTGTACAGATCGCACGGGACTAATGACACTGGATGAACGATCGAACTAGGTGTAGGGCAAAAGGCATGAACCTAGTTATATCCCATCCAAGAAAGTGCTCATGAGGGTGGTAAAAGGATAAACCCTCGGCCCTGAAGATCAAAAATAGTTATGGACACAAAATCTACCAACAAATCATTCCTCACTGACTGGGCAAAGTGCTGTCTTTGTCAATAGGATAAGAAGGAAGATCTTAAGTCTCCACATGCAAATACTGCCAAAAAAGGAGATGACGGTTACAAGAGCTTGGCAAGGAATATTCCTCTATTTCATTCAATCAATGCACTGCCAATCAAGCTTGACCCTGCAAGACTTGTTGAAGATGATGGAATAAAGGAGACCTTGAGGAGAAACAAGGCACAGTATCATGAGAGTTGCAGACTTCTGTTCAACAACACAAAGTTAAATAGAGCTCAGAAAAGGCGAACCTCTGCGGTTGCTACAGAGGAGAGCAGCAGTAGCAAGATACCACGAATGGTCAGAGACCCCAAAGCAACAGAATGCTTTCTATGTGAGGAGAAGCTTCGGGAGATGACATAAGACATGCAATGATAATGAAACTTAATAAAAGATTGAATGATTGTGCGAAGACACTTAGCGATGGAAAACTCCTCGCCAAACTAAGTGTAGGAGATGTTGTGGCACAAGAACTGAATTATCACCCTCGCTGCCTGGCAGACCTGTACAACCGAGAAAGAACACACCGAAATGCTCATGAGCAAGAAGAAGCACAAGAGCTTCATCCGAACAAGGACGCATACCCAACTGCTTTATCTAAACTGGTCACTTACATCACTCATAGGATAAGCTTCTAGTGAAGGTACTGAACCACCCATTTTTAGACTTGCTGACCTGGTCACACTCTACAGACAAAGACTTGAGCAGCTGCGTGTTGGAATGCCCGATGTTCATGCTACTCAACTGAAGGACCAGCTGCTTTTTCACATCCCCCAGCTGCAAGCTCATCACCAATTAAGAGATATCCTACTGGCCTTTGAGAAGGATGTTGGCTCAATCCTGGCACAAGCAAGCAAATACAGTAACGCGATCCATCTGGCCAAGGCTGCTGGGATGATACGACGGGACATACTTCAGCACAAGTCACACTTCAGCAGTACATTTCATGAAGGACGCATTGAACAGGCTGTTCCACCATCACTGCTTCAATTTGTATGCATGATCAAACATGGTGCAGATATCAAATCCCAATTCCAGCATGGCATATCGAAGTCTGACCTTGCTATGTCACAGCTCTTACAGTACAACTGCTTTGTCAACTACAAGGTAGGAACACAAATCCACAGACACTCCAAGGACCATGAGACACCTTTTGCTATCTACGTCGGCATGTCTGTGTTTGCTAAGACAAGAAAGAGGCAGCTCATTGACATGCTGCATGAAAATGGGGTCAGCATTTCATATGACAGAGTTCTACAATTATCAGCCCATCTAGGAGACCACAACCCCACTGCGACTACGGCCAAAACGTCCTTCCATGGGACCAGTGTGTCCACTGTCCATCTTCCAACATCCAAGCCCTGAGATGTCCTGTCACTTGGGGATGGATGCAGAAGGGAGAGGCATGGCAGATGCGTTGGACGACTCTTCCCCAGATTGCGACGTGCTATCAGGAGCTGACCAAATGTTCCTGGAAGAAAGACTGCAACCAGATATGAAATGCTTTCGCTCTGGACTTTCCTGCACAGCACTTTGCAGCTGCATATGTGAACAGCAGTAAATTCACAAAGATGTACTGTTAGGAGATGTCACAGGACATGCTAATAGTGAGTACTTTTTTTTTAGTAAATTCTTTTATGTTATTTTTTTTTTTTTACTAAAAGTGTTATTTTATGTGGATAAAAATGTTACAATGGACTTAAAACTATAAAACATCGTCTGAGCATGCTTGAAAACATAAATATCGACACCAAGATCACTCAGATTGACCAACTACATCAATTTCTATGAGAAAAATCATCTTTTGAAGGTCAATATGGCGGCCATCTTGAAAAATGACCGTAATCTTGGATTTTTAAATGGCCAATCAGGCAGACCATGCCAAATTTGGTGCTTGTATCACCATTTGCATGCTTCTCATGAAAAATTGCATTTAGCTGCCCCACTATAAGGCTCAGCAATAAACTTAAAATAATCGTAGGAGCACGATTCACATTCAACCTCTACCACGGTCATTGTCACACTGGTCATCGAAATTGAAATCCTTCAAATCCGTACCCTGGCTCCTCCCTTTGAAAAAATTCAATTTTGATTTGTCAAAAAAATTCGCATGATGACATCGATACATCATTGGTCACGACGGGAAGACGCCACGCATGCGTGATGTAAACACGCCCATAATTAGCTTGCTTTCACTCTTTCACGACAATAACATCTCACATAGATGAAGACTGAAAAGTACGTAAAATCAATTAAATTAAATTGTGTCGCTATTACCCATTTCCACCAGATATACTGTATATGGGATTCAAAGTGTTCAGAATAGTGAGATCTAAATGTTTCAATAGTTTATAACTTTGGGGCGCACTATGTCCAAAAGTAAAATAATACCGTAACGAGTAACAGTATATCATTGAATGCAGACTGTGAAAAAGTAATTGTCCAGACAAAGGCTCGAATCTGAATTATAACACTGCATTCCTTAGGTCTTAACCCATTAAAACAAGTGTATTCCTGGTTTGGCTTTTTTGGCTAGGTTTGTACCTTACGTAAAATGACTAATCTTAATCTGACAGATCGTTTCAGAGTTGGGCTACAACATGTCAGTGTCAGAGTTCTCAGAGATGGTAAGGAAAGACGCCCAGTTTCTCTATGACAACCCTGAGGCTTTGTTTAAAGATTTTGAGGACCTCGTGTACAACGTCATCCCCCTCAAACTTCCTGAAGTCTTCCTGAATATTCCTAAAGCGAAGTTGAAGTAAGAAAGAGTCCCAGGTGTGGTGAATAACATTGTCTTAGTGATGAGCATGTTGTGTGTTCAAAGGGTGGCCAGGTCTAGATATCGCATTGGAAGCGCTAGTGTCTGAGTTAATGTATTTGGCTTATGGAAAATTTCGAGATGTTTCAAGAGCCTTATTACATAGTCGTATCAAAAATCAATGCACTGTATATACTATAGTTATATCATTACACACACAGGGAGAATCCATGACTATTTGTTATATGTTGTACAGGATGGAGCGTTTGTCCTCACCTCATAGCACCACAGCTTTTTACTCTGTTGGAGCTTACGACGGGTCTCGCCCCGGCGTCTACTTCGTCAATACTTTCCACTGTGACAGTCAGTGAGTAACTTTACTGAGCAGCTATCTTTTTTTAAATATGACGTATTCCCTAAACCTTACAGCCTACAGTGAGTCATAGTAGTTAGGTTAGGTTAGGTTAGGTTAGGTTAGGTTAGTAGGGTGTGTCATAGGAGGGAAGATCAGCTAAAACTAATGGCCCATCACTTTTGTTGTAGATTTTAGTGTATATAAACAGAAAATAATTTCAGTTTCAATATTTTGCAACCTTTTGCTAGGTAAATTTTAGCGTGAAATTTATCGAAAATCTAACGTACAGCTGCATTAGTGCATTACAATTGAATAGAGAACATTGCTTTCTGACTTCATTCTTTAACAACCCAACTAACAATATTTTTTTCTGTTTCCGATTCTGATGCATTTATAAGTTGATAATATTTGCGATGGCTGCTTGTGTCAGGACGAGGAACCAAAAATCCAGCCATCTCAGTCACTATCTTGGGTCTGGGAGAGAGCTCCTGAAGTCGGAGTTGCCTACATTGAGAGATGCTTTGAGATACGGTGTTTTAATCAGACAAATCAGTGAAAAGAACCAAAGAACTTACACAAACAAAGACATTGCCAGTGATATGACCAAAGCTGTCTTGGCACAGTACACTCTGGCTAACGCTCAATTCAAGCCTCAGTCATAACAAGTCAGAAGAAGATTAGTGAGAGACTGCTAGCCAGTTGGGAAAAGGCAAGAGATATCTCTCTTGGGAGAGGAAAACTTGCAGTTAAGGACAGCTTTGCCAAGCAACTGGACCAGTTATTTGACATAATTACTTGCAAGTGCCCAATTGTTCTCTGTCCTGAGTGTGGATGCGATCGTGACTGTAAATCCGAGGCCCACATCTCCTGTATTTGCAAGCGTGAACTGAAGATTCCTGTGATCGAACTGGCATTTGTCAAAGCACAGAGAGAGAAGACTGGCAGTATAGGGGCTCTCATGATTTCTAGCCAAGATATTCCGGAGTCCAAGAGACAGGAGGCTGCCACAGAGAGGCAGAAGAGGAGAAGAGTTGCCGAGGAAACGAGACTTGAGAAGGCCCAGGGTGAGGTAAAAAAGGCCGATGATTGGAGTCAAGCTGATTCAGAGTTTAATTACTTCCCCATGGCTGATCCGAGTGCTGACCAGGAGAATGGTGACTTTGTCCCTAACCCAGAAAATAATGATCCCAAACCTTCCAGGCATAAGATTCGAAATAGGAAAGATATCCCGAGCATAGCTCTGGCCAGCATGCGACACCACACTGGTCTCAGAGAAACTGCAGAGATAGCAACAGCTGCCTGGATTAGCGGTGGTTTGATAACACCTGATGATGTTCACCTGGTGATAAATCATAACAAAGTAAGGAGAGCTCAGGAGAAACTTGTCAGTAACCTAGAAGAGGAGTTTGATAAGGGGATAAGAGAAAATGGAATCAATTGTTTGTTCTTTGATGGGAGAAGGGATGACACTAAAGTGTTCATTAAAGTTGGAGATTCTGACAAGTTGTTCCCTGCCATGGTGAAGGAGGAACACTACTCCTGCTGCAGTGAACCAGGAGGGAAGTATTTGTGGCATTTCACTCCAGAGAAAGATGACATCAGGAAACCAGCTGAGATAGTGGCAGATAACATTGTGAACTGGCTCAGAGAGAGGAACGTAGACCAGACCCTGCAGGCCATTGGAGGGGACAGCACCAACACGAACACAGGGTGGCAAGGGGGGGTCATACAGTGGATAGAGCGGAAGATTGGGAGGAAGCTGGTCTGGATTGTTTGTGACCTCCACACCAACGAGTTGCCACTCAGACATCTGATCCAGGAGCTGGATGGCAAGACTCTTTCAAACAACAGATGGTCTGGTCCTCTTGGCAAGATGCTGGACTCTGCCACTGAGTTAGAAATAAATCCGAGCTTTGAAAAAATCACAGTTGGCCCTCCACTCGTTGAGCTTGCACATACTGTCGTTGACGACCTGAGTACTGACCAATACTATGGTTACATGATTTGCAGTGCCATCAAAACTGGGGTCATGCCTGATAGACTTGCTTACCTGCAGATAGGTCCAGTCTCACATTCTAGGTGGCTCACAACGGCTCTCAGGTTCTGCAGAATTTGGGTCGCTCATCATAAACTGAAAGGGAACCAGCTTCACAACCTGAGACTTATTGTCCAATTCATCGTGAGTGTCTACTTGCCAAATTGGTTCAACACCAAGGTCAAGTCATCGTTTTCCGAAGGTCCGAGGCATGTTCTCTTCCAAAGCTGAGCTCCTGAGGAGTCAGCCAAGGAAGGTTGTTCAGATTGTGGAGCAGACTGTGAGGAGATCTTCCTGGTATGCTCATCCCGAGGCAGTTCTGCAGACAATGCTCTGCAGTAAGGATGAGGAGGAGAGAAGAGTGGCAGTCAAAAAGATCTTGGATATGAGACTTATGAGAGGATCTGGGCATGACGAATCAGTTGGTGACGATTCCTTCAGGGTCAGGAAGACTCCTGAAGTCAATCTAGGTGTCAAGACCCTCACTGATCTCATAGATCTGGATAACATCCAGGCTGGCAGTGAGCCCCTCTTGCAGCCTCACCAATGTTCAAGTCAGAGCTTCTGGACAACCCCATGCATGTCCCTGCCCAGCCCGCTGCACACCCAGAGTATAGAATTGTGTACAGCAAGTGAGCGAGGCCAGCAGTCACGTGTACAGCCAGGAGAGGAGGGAAGGCTACATCCGAGCTCAGGTGGTCAGCAGGGAGGTGATGAGTAGAAACAGAAGCAAGAAAGACATGTTCTCTATGGTGTGCAGCAACACCGGGTCGTAGTAGTAAAACCGGTTTTTGTATTTGATGATTTTGTTTTCTAAAGGAATATTAAATTTAATAAATGTGTCAAGATCATTCGTTTCACTATTCTGGATCATTTTCATCCTAATAAATTAACCTGATACATTTACTTTACTTTAAATAAGCTATTTAGTGGTGTTGGTAAAAGGGTGGGAATACTGAATTTTCATAAGATTTCAAGTTAAAATTTACCTAGCAAAAAATAAAAACTTTTCAAATCTGAAGATATCACATGATTCTGCACATAGAACTACATCATTAATACCATGGGCCGATTTTTCAAACTCAAAAAAAAAAATTCGCCTCCGTATGACACACCCTATTAGGTTAGGTTAGGTTAGGTTAGGTTAGGTTAGGTTAGGTCATTACATGAAATATGTTAATCTTGATAAAGAGATCCCCATACGAAATGAGGTAACCTTCGCATATTGCTAGAATGTCACCTACTTGCATTAGTATCTTTAACTCCTTGAAGTAGCATCAATAATAGTCAGAAAATATCCAACTCGTTTCGACTAAGACCAACTAAACTGTATATTCTACTTCTCAGACCGAAGTACGAGATGATGACCTTATCCCTGCACGAGGGAAATCCAGGTCATCACCTGCAGGGATCACACAGCATGGAGTCTCCTAAAATCCCCTTCTTCAGGAGAGTAATGGAGGACCGTAACTACTGGCAGGCACCTTCCAGGTTCCCCATAAATACAGCATACTTGGAGGGCTGGGGTCTATACGCAGAGAATCTTGGTTTTGATATGGACCTTTTCAAGAATCCTTATATCAGGCATATACAGTACTGAGAGACAACACTAAGTGTAGATGAGAAGAAATCGTTGAACACTTTTTGTTTGGTTAGGAATTTGAAACTGTGTAAGTAGATACACGTACTTTGTGTTATATGACTTTCAGGCAAGTCTTACGATAAATAATTGGTTCTGATATTTGTAAAGCCTGCCTTGGGCACCATTGCAATGGGTCCCTCTGACACCATTGTAATGGATACTCTCGGCACTACTGTATAAGTTACTTCACTGTCTATAAATTCAAGCCAATAATCCAATAAGTTCTTTAGATACAGTCCATCATTATTTTACATGTAACCTTTTACTTTTTCTAACTGCACTTATTATGTAACTGTGACAACATGTTTACCCAGTCTCAGAAGAATGCGGATCGAAACTTAGTCTTTAGTAATGGAACACAGGGAGAAGGAAAGTGAGAGTAAGAAAAGGATGGGAGGCGAAGGATGAGAGTCCGTACTGACTGTCCTTCGTGGTAAGGGATGTTTATGGGTTGTTGTTGGGGAAATTAGGGCAAGTAGATGTAGGATATATAAGTCATGTTAGGTTCTAACGGTTAGTGCAGACACAACTTCCATTACTAAAAACATAATAGGTGCATGTAGCACTGACCTAGAATTGCAATGTACTGAGTACACTGACAAAATTATGATATTAAGCACTGGGGACTTAGCACTGTATATACTCTGGGAAGAGAGTTATTCTAGTAGAAATGCGCACATACATCGATGAGAACATTTACTTGAATTGTTAAGATGGCACACTAGGAGACTTCATGCTCTACTACATGGGTCTCTTAAAGAGAAAACTTAATTTGAATTAAATTAAGGGAGAGACATGGGATTAAATATCGCCGGCACCAACACAATATACCGTGTTTAACTAAGGAGAGGACATATAAATACGTTAAGATCTCAGTCACCAATATAAAGATTACCATATCAGGGGATGGGGGTTGGAGGGCGGGTGTTAGGTATTATTGTACCTGGAAAATGATCACTTGTTCAGCAAGAGGGGAGAGGCGGGTTTACTTTAAGTACGCCATTACCATTGTAATGACTTGGGAAGAGGGAGAGGCCTGAATTTACTTTAAAGCTACTACCGCCACTGTAGAAGCATGGGTTTACTTGACTTGCCAGATGTAGTGACTAACCGGAGACGTGGATTTACGTTAACTACGTTTCCACCAATGGAATGACTAACAAAGAGAGGGTTTGAGTTTAGTTTAAACGCTGCCACTGATGTAATGAATGCTTTTGGCACCATTGCAATGGGTTCCTCTGACACCATTATAATGGATACCATTGGCACCATTATGAAGATATAATGAGAGTTATAGTAGGAGGGATTGCAAAGTAAGGAATTTGGTAGCGTGGCCCAATAGTTATATAACGGTTGATATGTTATGAGGGGAAATCTGCGAAACAACAATTCTAAGTATAGCTATTTATAAGTTAACTGAATGACATGGACACATTAATAGATGATTATATTGATGTTTCCAGATAATGACGCCCATATATAAACCTGACATGGATACACTTCCCACTAAAAGTAACTCACCCTATGGATCGCCCTCACAATGACCTACGTGTGACCTGTGGGAGGCCCAGCAGGGCCTGGTACTGCCGGGAAGAGTGGTCCTCCCCATGACTCAGACCTGCGTGTGACTCCCACTAATGCTGGATTTTGTCTCTCCGTGAAAATGAGCTGTTGGCCTCTTTTATTCGGTTTTTCTGGGTCACAGTACTTTCACAAATCGATCTTATTTATGTTAGTTTAGGGTGGTATATTTTGTTTATTGTAGTCCTGTTCCTGGCACGACCCCTTCTTCTTACCGGCTGAAGGGCAGTGTTTATTGAATTAATAGGGTCATGGTGCCTGTTCTCTCATCACACGGAGGCGAGAACTAATTTCCCTTCGTTAACCTTGTTGGGTCAGATCTTTATCTCGTTTGATTACTGTAGGATGGGTCGAGTTAAGTGGGTGTACACCTGCTTCACTAGTTACTGCTATATGTGTTATTGTTCTCCTTGGCTG